CAGTGTGCACTAAGTGTTCACAATTAAATTCGATATAACAATAATTAATTAAAAACGAATAATGATTAATTATTAATAATGATAATTATCGAATAATACTAGGCGGAAATACGTGACATGTATTAATATCGTTAGAGATACGTTAGAGATTTATTACGAGAAAAAGTTTTTTGAGACTTTCGTCATGCAATGCTTACGCACCGTCGACGCAGGTGACATAAGCGTACGTTTCTCCCTACCTTTTCTTCTAATACATATCTGCGAATTTCTTTCTTTTTCTTGTATATGTGCTTTTTTTGAATCAACATCGCGTATATATATCAATAGCCTTATTATATATATTTATATACACCCGTTTTATCGGAAAAATATAAATATCATAGTTCAACGATCGATGCAACGATTGGGAGATTTTTTGGTTTCTTGTTTTCGGACGAATTGTAACGCGCACGAGGATTCGATGCAAGGCACGCTCGTGTCGCAACGAACCATGTTTTTAATAATGATCACTCCCAGTGTATGCATCATATTGTATCCGTAATGATTGTTATACCAGCGCAGCACGCGAATTATACTCGACGAGACGAGCGTCGAAGTTCGCGATAGCGCAGCGAGCAAAGGGAAGAATTTGATTGCTCGTGTGTGATAGAGAAAAGAAAAACCAAAAAATTGATTTCTCTTTTGCGAATAAAAATCGCAACTTTTTGACTTTTCGCTCTTTAACCCTTTGTACTTAAGTAGTTTCTTGTAAAAGTAAGCATGTTTAGAAGACAATGTTTTTCCTTTTAATTATTCTGAATTAAATTACGCTCTTATGTAATCCTTTTAGAAGACGATGTTTTCTCATTTTTCCGAATTAAATTACGCTCTTGCCTGCTTTAGAACAAGATTTTTTATGTAAAGATAAACGAACATCTATTTATGCGAAATTCAATTTTACATTATTTATATAAATAAGGTCAAAGATGATTGAAAAATATTGTGTACTTCTTTATATCTATGGAGAATTTAGAAAAATTGCCTTTTTCATTAGTCCAATGCTAATATTGAAATCAAGATCAGAGATTTTGGTATATACATAATGATTAATATCTATCATAAAACACTTCTAAAAAAAAAGTATTATTTACAAATTATGGTCATCTCTCTCCAATATGTTCGAAAAAATATTTTTATTAAAAATGTGATTATTGCATCTCGACGCGAAAGGAACGCAAAGGGTTAAAGCGCAAATCGATCTTACGAAAAAGTGCTCTTCAAGATCGTCGAATCGAGAGAGAAGGGTTCGCGCCCTCGCTAAAGAAGAGGGCCACCCAAGGACTATCGCCTACCGAAACGATGGGCGGACGAGACGCCCGGAAATAGAAAAATGACGAATGCGAAAAGAGAGAAAAACGAAAAGGAAAAATAGAATGGAATAAGGAAAAGAGGAAAGATGGAGGGAAGCTGCGTCAGTATATAACAAAGCTATTGCTGCTATCTCTCGATATTGTGTCCGTTGCTGTGGATGTTACTTACTTGTGTCTCTTTGTATACGTGTGCGCGATGTGTGCCCGTGTGTGGTCTCCGCTTGCTTTGATATCCGCAATTTCTACATTTGCCTGCTTCGATTGCCTCTGCCTGCTTTTCACGAGATTCCATAAATCGAAAAAGCAATCGGCGACTGTTCGAGTTTAATGCGTTGTAGCAATAAAATTGTTTGTTGTGAGCAACAATAATCTAGAAAAAGTATATGTGAGAGATAATAATTAATCTTTCAAATTTTGTGTTGTTTGATTGCCTTTGACAAAAATCAGAATTTAAAGCGATAAAAATGATAAAAGTTGTAATTATCATTTTTTTTCTCTCTCAGAAACGATTATAAAAATGTAGCATAAAAAAATAGGACGTGAAGAATAAAGTGAAATTTGCGGATAGATTATTTTATCGGCAATTATAATATTAGAATATAGAAATAAAGAAACGTGATTTTTAGATCTTTGGAAGATACAATAATATTATCTTTTTTCCATAATCAAATGATTATTACATTTAAAAAATGCCGATTTAAATTTAATTTTTCTCGCATTTCTTTACAACAAAATTTTTTAAAATTTGAGATTTTATTAAATAATTTTTTTATTAAATGCAAGATGTTACAAGTTTAATGTCCCTAATAAATTTAGTAAAATTTTATCGCGCGCTTAAGAGGGACATAGTGTTATTTTGTATAACAGAATATAAGGGAGAGAAACATAACTTCTCTGAATATATTCGATATTATCGTTGTCGCTAGTTTGCCTTTCGATCGACGGAATCTTATTGCCTGTTCGCTTTGGCTGCCTGGCTGTTTGTGTGTGTTCGCCTTTTCCCTCTCTGCAAGCCACTGTCCATTTTCCCTCTTCAGTGCATCGTATTGTCACTCTTTTTAGAAGCGATCTCATCAAAGCTCAATATTCAATATAATCAATACTCAGTGCACATCAGTTCACGCTCTCATACAAAACAAATGTATTTTTCATCGAGATACATATATACATATAAATATATACACACACATATACAGACTGTCCCACAAAAAATCTATTTTGCAAAGAAAATGGAGAGATCGATCTTTTCTTGAGAATTCTTTCGTGAGAATTTTATTCTACTTTGTAATAATTTGTAATGGTTATAGTACTAATTGTCATAATCCTGAAATTGATTCAAAAAAAGGTAAATAAATAATTTAATAAAAATCAATTATTGATTTTTAAAATATAGACTTAACAAGATTAGAGAATCATTAACTAGTGATAATATAGTGATTAACTTAGTGATTTATAATTATAGTTTTATTCATTTACGTATTTTATTCCGTATATGAAAACAAAATTGCATTGCTGATTAAGATATTTTCTTGAATCTTAATGTTATTTTATTTTTAATTATTTATTAATTGCTTTTTATAAAATCTTCGCTAAGGAAAGACCAATTCGATTTATGTGAAGAATAAAATGCCACAGTTATTATCTCTTTATTTTTTTTCTGGGACATCCTGCATACGATATTTATGCTTAAAGGAGATATTCGAAAGATATATTTAATTCTTTGTATTTCAATATGTGCTGTATCGCTTTGCTGTTATTTGCATTACTCTAATCAATCAGTAGAAATGATTTAATATCCAACATATTGTAGTTTTCTTATATTTATTAATATAACACATTTTAGTGCAAAGAATTAAATACTTTAAATAAAAACAAGAAATACTTTCTATATATTTTTTTATTTTTCTATTTATTCTCTTATCGTTCAAATCTTATTTAGATTTTATTGACCGCGATTACTCATATTTTACATGCTCGGCACTATCGATTATCACTCTTCACGTTTTTTCTCAAAATCTTATGCACTTCCACAATTATGTGTATATATTTTTTTATATCGATATGCACGCTTGTATTTCAAGCCGAATGAGGAAAAGAGTAAAATATGAACAAAAATATATCGCAATTTTTGCGACTAAAAAATCACCAATATATCGCTCATATAATCAATCATATACAGATTCTCTTTTATATTCTCGCCTTTATTTAGCGCGTTATTTAATTCTAAATGCAATTTATCCGAGTTCTACTTATTCGATATATTTTTTACTCGATCGCGTTTAATGTTGACGCGTTAATTAACGAGTTAAAAAATTTGAATTAGATATTTGCATTTAGCGTTAAATGTGACCGCAAATATGGGCTGTAATTAAGCGGGACTCTGTTAAAAATAAGAAAAAGGAAACCATTAACGTATAGTCGCTTATCCTTTTTCCCTTCTCGGTTCATCAGCCGTTTTATTCACTTCGCTCATTCATTCATTCGTGCATTCACTCATTTGCTATCCGTCACCCTCCCATCTCCCTTCCTATTTCAATTACGTGTGCGTGTGTGTTTTACTTTGCATTTATCCAGATTGCAACCCTTTGAGTCTCAAAATGCCTCCAACCGGAATTTTTCACCGGGTTCTTGGCCTTTTTTATATGCATTATTATTATTCTTATGTCATAATTAATCTCGATATAACCGATAATTAATATCGATAAACCGATTATGAGGAACAGGATTATATTTGACCGCAGAGCTGAAGGATCTAAAATTTATATATTTTATTAAAATTTTTATATTTTACTTTATACATAATTATGTTTATAAATATCCATATTATCCTGCTTTTTAGATTTTATTTTAGTTTTACTTCTATAATCTTCAGGTCTCTTTTTTTTCAATTCAGATATGTATAGTTACTATAATTTTTGTAAATTCTAAAGTGATAATTACTTGGCGATGAATTTTTCTTTGTCTTTTTTTTTTTGTTAATTTGATCGATTTTACGACACATTCGTGACTCAAAGGGGTCTCGCAGGATCATTGTGTGACTTGCTTTGCGCATTGAATCTTACTCAATGGAAGCGTACTCTATTCTGTATCCTGCGATATACCTCTACCTAACTACTTACACACTCTACTATATACCGCTCTTTTCGTTACTGGGTGTCCAAGAAATTCCCATTTACCGCCCAGAAAAATAACACTGCAGCCGTGGATCTGCTCGATCGCATTCGATCCTTCCTGGACTCTTCTCTGACGGAGAGGAGGCACGCAGGGACGATCGACGACGATCGAGAGATTAGAACTGTCCAGCCGAAACTCACAGAACATCGCAAAAAAAAAAAGAAACAAACAAAAAAGAATCTCAAAGACTGAAAAACGCGCGTTCTTTGTCAGAAGGAAGATATCCGTCCAATAAAAACAAAAATATATAAACGCACAACAACAACAACGGCGACAACAATTACAGCAACAGGAACAACATCTACAACAACAACATGAACAACAGCAACATCAACAACAACAATATCGTCATAGACCGATACAACATCAGGAACAACAACATCAACAACAAGCAACAACATGCCGACACGTTCGTACCGTCGCATCGCGTTTGACGGTACTTCCGTTCGGGACTATACTTTCTTTACAATCGCTCTTGCCCGCCCGTCTCTGCCCACCTGTCTCTGCGTCCCGGGCAGGTATCGATATATAACAGTACGCCGTAAGGCGAGCTCGAGGGCGCGCCGCGACGTCGTCCGTGATAGAATGAGAAAAAAGATTAAGTATAACGACAAAAGTGAAAAAAAAAGAAAAGAAAAAAAAACGAGAGAGGCCCCGAAAAAGAATACTTCTCACTCTGGTCCCACTCTGTACGCGCATCACTTACCTCAACATATCCGGCCACAATATCCACCTCTCGTCTTGCTTGCCCAGTACCCACCACCGACTTATCCATTACATATATACCTTTCTTTCTATATATATATATACCTAACTATATATACTATACTAATATATACTACTAATATTACTACTTTATACTTACTAAAAGAAGGATATGAAGAAAGAGTGAAGAAAGATATACGACTCTCTCTTTCTTTCTATTCGTCTATCTCTCTCTTTCTCTCTATCTCTCGCTCTCTAACACTGGTGGTGGTTGTCTGTGTTGTGCTGCCTCTGTCTGTCGTAGAGCAAGGAGGCTGGCATCCGCACTCTGGTCGCACTCGACGACCAGGGAGGTGAGTGAATCCGCTTGTTAGCAATTAAGTAATTACCGAAAACGAGAGGGTAGGAGGTGAAGGAACGAAGAAAATAACTCGTTCTCGTAATCACCGCATACACTTTTACGATTTAACACACCGTCTATATACTCACAAGCGTTACCCCCGCGAGTGTCTTTTTTTCCCCTCCACATACGCATATAATACGCACATATACGCAATACACACGACGGGGTCTCGGGATGAGAAAATTGCGGGAAAGAAAACAATGATTCCACACAAGTTTTATATCTCTTTTATGCACAAATTAGATGTGATAGATATAGTTTTAACTAAGTGTAGAATTAATTTTTGACATTCAAAGAAAAGAATTTATTTTTACTGTTATTCTAAAATTTCTTCTTCTTCTACTTTGTATATATATGCTATACATTTTATCTTTTTTTACGGAAAGTTATATTTATCTTATAAATTACATGAAAATATTTAATAGATACAAAGATTATTCTCGCATTTTTCCTTCTTCTACGTCATGCGGAACATCCCGTAGATTTCATCTTAAACGCAATTTATGTTTGCTATTTACGAGAGATCCAATAATTCTAGATACTAGATCTCTTAAATATGCCTACGTGATTATTCTCGTGTTAATAATTGGACACACACACGCATACATACTACGGTATAACGATTAAACACTGACTCTTTCGGTCATGATATAATTAGCGGAGAATGACCCTGAATTTAAAGAAAAATTCTAACAACATAATTTTTACGTAAATTTTATATTTGATATAAATCTCGATGACAGATTTCTCGATGAAACGACCGAAAGAGTTAACGCAGTGATTTCGAGAGTCGGCGCTCAAAACGCTCGCGGGTTGTAGCTGCTAACCAGAGACGGAAATTGTTCTATTAACACACTCAGTCCTATCAGGGCCCGAGATATTACGGATATATGCTCGCCACCCCCGCGAATCCGCACCGTGTTAATTACGATCGTATGACACGCGCCGGATATTCGTGTCCCAATGTTCGACAAACATTTGCGCGAATAATAATTTCGGACTTTTGCAAACGCGGAGCGTGATTCCGCGAAAGTTTTCCGTCTAAAGAACTGTCAGGCGAAAGAACTTTAGAAGTCAATTTTCCAACCCAATGGTTCCCGTTTCGTACACAAAAGCCAATTCCTCGGATATAGAAATATCGATTAATCTACGCTTAATTTAACGCGCATGAAATTACACGCTTTGACGCGGTTTAATGACATAATGCCATGCTTTTAATGTGACACAAGCTCGATCGGAGCTTTAACTCTACCCTAATCATCTTTACTTCCCTAAATGCTGAGGCGGCAGAAACAATTCGCGGAAATCGTCGCTCCCTCACGATAGAGATTCGACAATGTGAAAAGATCATATCGCGCCCGATTAACAAAGTTAATTAAGGGGACCGACAGCCAACTGCCACTGCACAATCGCAAGTTGTATACTGTGCCGGATCTACTACGATTACTACTGATTACAACACCATCGCCATCACTGACACCACTGAGATACTCTCTGCTGATATTACTAACGTTACTACCATGTACCATTACACTATGGCTGCGTCTTGGATCGTTGGTGAAAAGTTTTTCGCCCATTTAATTTTGTTAAAATTCTATCAATTTCGATTTCTATTTTTCGTCAAGAGATTAAATTTTTTCGATAATACTTTACAAAGTAATTAAGAGATTGTATAAAATGCACGTGTTTTTTTTTTCGCGTATAATCTCTTCGCTGTTTTCATCATTCGCGAGGAAACTGAAAGATGCATTTTTTATTTCAATTTCATATAAGTTTCTCGGCGCATATAAAATTTGCGCGGAACTTTACGATCCAATATGCGACTCGTGCAATCACGGCGTGAACCAGTTCAGGCTCATTTTTACGTTTCACCATTGACATGGACAAACCTGCTGTAATAACGTGACAGAGAGAATATTCTCATAGCATATACATACCACGCTCACGGTATTCATAATGTGAAAATGAGCCTCTATCAATAAATCAGTCATCGCTGCTGTTGCTATCGCTGTCGCTATTTGCCAGCGTTGACGTGAAGCGGCTCGTACACAATCCAACGAGCGAGTTTCTATTGTATAAACAAACATGAGCTCCATTGCATAAACATTGCACTAAATCTCCTTGCCGAATTTTTATCAATATTTTTAACTTTACTCATATAACGATATTATATTTTGTGATATATCCTCTTTATCCGTATTTTTATCAGTGTATATATATCTATATTATTATTAATATAAATTTTTTTATCGATCTATAGATAGATTCCTCGCGTATTGAAACTGTTTCCCTCTCATCGAATATCTTTTATATATAAAAATAACAGTATCTTTATTATTTTTTTTTCTTTGTATATGTATGTGTGCGTGTGTGTGTGTGTGTCGCGCAAGCTGTTGGATGCTGTATGAACCGCTTAACGAGATCGAACTGCTCTCGTGTACAATTAACAGCTATTGTTCAGATGGTGTAATCAATCGTGATCGTTTTATTTTTATTTTCTCCCCATCCCGCCGTTTTTCTCTCTGTGTAGCCTATTTACACTCACACTTACTCGCCTCTTCCTTTCGCGCCCTTTTTCTCTCTCTCTTTCTTCGTGTAGATCTTTTTTTGTCCTAAATCCAAACGACACGCTGGATGCGATCGCGCGCAGCAAAGTGCAATAATGGCATGTGACGTGTGGGAATGCCCTTATCGTGTCTTCGAGTTTTTCCTCCACGGCCTTTTCTTACACTCTTTGCCGATGTGGCGAAATTTAGAAGCGCGTGCTAAGTGCCCTCTCATCTGTCAAACGCTATTATCGCATCTGCTTTCGTATACCGGATGTGTACCGGGTTAATTGGGACATATCGCGATAGTTTCCGAAAATATATTCAAATATATTATTATATATTTAGAAATATTTTGGACGTAATTATTTATTTCGAACATATTATTTATTTTATCACCGTCTAAATTATATTATTGTAAATAGAAAAGAAATATATATATGGTTTATATACATATGGTATAATATTTAAAATATAATTCATATATATATATTATAAAATTTAGATGGTGTTAAAATGAAAAAAAATTACGTTCTAAATCATCTAAGTATAATATATATCGCTTGTTTGTGAATTCAGCCTTTTATAAAAAAAACCTACGTTTTTTATAAAATTCGGTTTTTTATAAAAAAAGCTGATTTTATAAAAGAAAAAAAAACCTTGCAGAACATATATAAATTGATAAGCTATAAAATGTACGTGGATCATTTATTTTAATATATTAAAGCTGGTTATGAAATAATATTATTATGGACATCTCTCATCGTTATCATAATTATCGACTAGCAATGACCATGGTCATCAGTTGAGCATTTAATCTATCATAAAGTGATTCAGTCGCCATAAAGCGATTACGAGTAATATTGATTTCAGCATCACTTTCGTCATCTATCTCGTTAATCATCGAAAGTGTCGCGACTTCGGGCCCGTGTCGCAATTAGCCCGATCGATCCCAACTTCACAAGATACACGCTGTAATTCTGTGGATTTACTGTAATTCTGTGTATATTTGATCTCTTTACTATACACAAATACTATCTAGTAGCCAGCCGCGAAGCTTACAGAGCTGTGTCGCGCTTTCAGTCTACGTATTATTTTTATATATAACTACATACATATATATATTTTTCTATATATGTATATATATATCAACATGTATTTGTCTATCTAATGTAGATATATCTCAAAAGAGTGTATACTCTATAACTCATTAACGCTTGTGACAGTAGATATCTGTCTTGTCTGCCGTAACTTGTTTCATTTCTCTCCTCTTTTACCTCTGATCTCTTATATACATCTCTGTCATCTCCTCTCTTTCTATTTATCTACTTCCGTCTCTCCTTGGTTTTGCAATCTGTGCATCCAACGTGCAACTATTCTCTGTCGGCCGTCGTCTTACCAAAGTAGATATTGTCCCCGCTTTGATTTCGAGTCGCTGGCCGAAATGTATGCGTATGCGGTATATATATTATCAGGAAAGGCTATATAGATAATAATAATAATATATACAAATATGAAAATCGAACAATATGTCGAGAATCGAAAAACGAGAGCTCGGTGCGAAGTGAACGAGAAACGCGAGAGTGAAACATAGCAAAGAAACTCCGCTCGGCGCGATCGCGCCAATAGCGCTAATCGCCGATTAGCATGGCAAGAATAATTAATAGCGTGGTTACCGCTGCGCTACGTGATCATCGCCATCATGATCGTCAATAGCGTTTAATCGCGCCATCGTTCTCGTCAATTCGCGTTTATTCGCCTGAAAACAAAAGCGTTCGACGCTCAAGAGACGTACCGACGACGATCGCCGCATTTTTCAATCATTAGTTATCAATCGTATTACCAAGATACTAGGAGAAAATTGATTAGAAAATCGTTAGAAAATTTATTAGAAAGAAGTCGAAAATTCTTCAGTAAAATCTAAATTAACATATTGCATCTCTTTCTTGCTTTTAAACATTTTATGCTCTTTAAAAAAAAAATTATTTTATCTTAAAAATTAAATATAAGAGGAATAATTTGAGAGATTTAGTCTAATGATCTTCACGTCTATTTGTTATTCGTGGAGAAATCTTTTTCCGAAACGTCGAAGGTAGCGTCTCTTGTTCGCTTTATCTCTACCAAGCCGCCCATTTACGCTCCATTAAATCGTCTTATCGTCAATCGTCATTACTCTTAATATCGTCGACGTCGTGTCCCGTCATCTCTCTATTATTATCTTTCTATTCTCTTTTTCGCCTATGATTTTTAACGTAAGCAATAAATGCAGAAATCGGTTGCAATTGTAGCTAATTGTAATCGTGATTATAATAGAAAAATTTTTAATTAAAAAATTCTTAGTTGATCGATTAGGTCAATTTAATTTAATGTAATTAATTGTAATTTAATTGTACTTTAATTTGAC